TGTTTGTTTTTTTTTGGGGGGGGGGGGGCGGGGGGTGGGCGTGAAACCAAAAAAGTGAATAAAGATTTCATGTAAAACCGGTCGGTGGTTCTGATGAGCGCGGAACAGCCATAATAATAAGGACGTTTATTTACTGTGGAGAGGCAAACGTTGACATTATAGATGTCACAATCTGTCTTGGTGGACGCCAGACAGTCCAGAGGGGGTCTAACAGGGAGGGAGGGGGGTGGGAGTGTGGTGGGGGGGGGGGGGGGTGGTGTAAGCCTGTGCCACAGGAACTTTCACATGTCTTCTATTTAACCAACTCCTTTTTTTAAAAAAAAACAAAATTTTCTCCCAGTGTTTTGTTTTGTTGTCGTTGATGCGGCGACTTCCAGGGCAATGATTTTCGTGCAAAGCTGTGGACCCTTTGGGCAGATGAGAAGATGCTCAGGAACTACTTCAGTCGCCGCTCCCACTGCAGCAGTGCCCACCCCACCACGTACTGAACTTATTTGACGTGTTGTATTTCTGATTCTTTAATGACTAATGTGTATTTTTTTTAGAGAGAGAGAGAGAGAGAGAGGAAGTGGATATCCTAACAACATGGGCCTAAGTCGTTTTCCTTTCCCACTTGCCCACGTATGTTATGCCCATTATGTCGATATTCTTCTATTTTAGCGATTACATTTCACACCGGAGTGGCAATTTCTCTCTCTCTATATACAGAGAAAATCGACCGACTTAAATGTTCCCCCCTACCGCCAAATCAAAGAGCGCATTGTCGCTTTGGATGACTTTCAAAACGAACGCAAAGCGTTTTCTATTTGTATAAAAATTAACAATTTCTAGGTATGTTTTTTTTTTCTCCCCCCCCCGGTTTGGCACCAAATCTGGTGGTGGTGGCGGTGGCGGTGTGTGTGTGTGTGTGTGTGTTTTTGGAAGAGTGTGTTAATTTATTTGTTTATTTTACAAGCATCGATAATGACCCCCTTCGTTCCTCCCTGATGGTATAGTGTGCGGTGCTTATTTATAGAGCGATCCCTCACAGTAATCTGTGGAAATCAAAAGTAATTGGGACTTACAGCACCCCTGGCCCTGTGTAAATAAAAGAAGAACGTGTCTGTGAAGTTTTGGTGATGGGAAACAACACGTGGCGATTTCACCGACAAATTGGACAGCCCCTAAAAAAAAAAATCACCGTGACCCTTCCTTACCCGAAAGGCCCGTTCTTTATTTGTGTTTCCGTGTATTTAATGTACGAAATCAACCACTTCGCCGTTTGCGTTCAGAGCGTTTAAAACGTGAAATGAAATGAAAGGGGAAGGCTGCGGAACCGTCTCGAAACGGCAATTCACACAACACAACACTGTTACAACCCCAAACCCTTCTATTCGCCCACAAGTGTGTTCAGATGGTAATATTATTTAATTCCTCATTTCCTTTACAACGTCTCGATCCCTGGGGGAGATTAAGGAGGGGGTGTGGGGGGAGGTAGTATGTACCGAATCCCTTTTTAAACCACCACATGATATTGAATAGATAATGTTGAATCAATGTTGATGGCATAGGTTGGGGCTGTGGCGGGGGGGGAGGGGGGGGGGGGTGTGGAAGAGAGGGGCAAAATTCCCCCTTCCACCCCAACAAAAAAAATCAAACATTTTCGCATTGAAGTTCAAGCATTTTGATACCACGTACATTTATTTAAAAGGCAAAAAGCAATAAACCAGAGCAGCGTCTCTTGAATCCATTCGAGGGAAGTTTCTATTTCAGGTCACCGGAAAGGTAATCCTGGAAAAGTAGGAGAGGGCGTGTGGTGGTGGTGGTGGGGGGGTGGGTGGGGGGTGGTGGGTGGGGGGGTATTTTTAGGAACTTAATTCAGTACATTTGATTTGCGAGACTGTCAGAGTCAAGTCCAAGTTGGTGCGGGCAAAACAGCGTCCAGCTTCGTTTGCTTCTGAAGCTGATGGTTCCACAGGACACTTCACATCAGTTTTCCAGACCCCCCTCCCTCTGGGCAGTGCTATCAAAAAGTCAGTCAGAGAAAGCTCCAGTCCACTTCCACAGGGAATTTACTGCCACAAGGCTTTCCCAGATCGACAGCAACGTCATTTAATTTGAAGGTGGAGGTGGTGGTGTGTGTGGGGGGGAAATACCAAATGTACTCAAACACCGAATGCGTTTTGCTGTCTTCTTCTAACGCACAGCACCGTCGCGCTCTCTCTCTCTCTCTCTCTCTCTCCCTCCTGTTGTGTTTCTGTTTTTCTTTTCCGACCATCTTTTTTTTTTGTCGAGCGAGAACTCGTTCGTTTTCCCCACAGAGCAGGTGGGTCCCGATAAGTGACCGATAAAGCACGTCGGGTTGTTAAAAAAAAAACAACCCCAACTGATTCCAAAGGAGAGGAGGAGGCCCGAGCAGAGAGATCCTGGGAACCAATCCGACCACAAATGGTTCCAGTTCTGCCAAACATCCAGAGTGTGTGTGTGTGTGTGTTGTTGTCTTTTAAAAGGGGGAAGAACATTAAAACAATTTTCCCTGCAATTGTATCGAAGAATCCTAAACTTACATAATGACTTGCTGCCCTCCTTCTCTCTCTCTCTCTCTCTCTCTCTTTCTTTCTCTTTCTTCTTTCTTTCTCTCTCTCTCTCTGTGTGTGTGTGTGTGGAGGATTCGATGGATGTGAGCTGTAAGTGAGCACACAGTGCGAATCACCGGTGCTTTTGGTTGGGTTTTCGTTCGCCAGTGTGGTCGAGTGAAGGGAAATCCAGAGAGGTCAGGGTTCTGCCACAAGCCGTTTGCCTCCACACCAACTTCACTCACTTCACTCCACTCACTCACTCACTCACTCACTCACTCAGGCACCAACCCACAACACAGGCCACGCAAATAAACAGCACAGATCAGGTTCAAGATAATAATAAAAAAAAACGTGTTAAGAGCTTTTTATGAGGAGGGAGAGAGAGGGTGCTTTTTTTAAAAAAAATACCCCCCTCCCCCCAAAAAAAGGGTGTGTGAATTCATGACATGAAAAAAAAATACCACATAATGGTATCGAGTGCCAGTTGCACGCCTCAAGCTATGTATTTTCTTAAGAGCAGTAAGACTGGGGAAAACTCCAGTGCTTTTATTTAATAATAATAATAATAATAATAATAATAATAATAATAATTTAGTTGCAGGGAGCATATCAGTAGGGGAGAAAAGTTAGTACTTTAACAGTGAAAGGATTAAGTCAATGGCACTGGTCTTGTATTTGTTTCTCTTTCTTACAATCACAGAACTTCTGCTCCCAATTAAATTTTACATTGATCCGTTTGCTGTTTAATCTTCTGTTGTGGTTGGTTTTGCACAAGTCTGTCAGACTCCCGCGTTATGGGTGGGGTTTTTTTTTTAGTCCTGATTTAAGTTACGTAGAGTCGAAACGCATACATCTGCAATAATTCGTCAGTGAGAAGAAGAAGAAGAAGAAGGAGAAGAAGGAGAAGAAGGAGAAGAAGAAGAAAAAAAAGGAAGAAAAGGTTGAACTGCTATTTTGATGTACCGGATAATTCATTTGTAATTGCTGTCACCGAACTTCACTGGAAATCCATGTAAACTTCCACGAGGTTTTACTGTCAAAGCTGTACCCCACCGCAAAGGCGAGAAGAGTGTGATAACAACACTGAAAAACAGCCAGAAAAGTTGGTATCACATTCAAAACCAAACTCTTTTGCTGGAGGGCTTTTTTTGGGGGAGGGTGGGGGGGGTGGGGGTGGGGGGGGGGGTGTGGGAAGAAGAGGAATGATGACAAAAAGGCCATTGACAATCACGAGCCGTTTTAGAAACAGTTATATACCCATTTTATTCGATGTATGTTCAGTGCAATCAATCGTCCTCTGAAATCAATTGGCAAATAACTAAACGCAAATGCGAAGGGAACATCGCTAACCTTTGCTCAGGTCGGATGAGAGCAGATGGTCGTTATTCCTGAAATATTAATACACGGTGATTATGGCACAAAATAAAATACAACAACAACCAGGAGTGTTGCAGAAAAGTCGTCTTACTTAATATGTATAAATCCGGTGACTAATAAATCCAGCTCAGGTGTACATTTATCGTCGGAGGGATGGTGGGGGGGGGGGGGGGGGTGGGGGGGAAGGTGGTGGTGGTGGTGGGTGGGTGGGGCAGCAAATGAAAATCGACTTTGGAACTTTTTTTATATATATATATATATAAAAAAAATCTACAGAGCAAAAAAAAAAACCACACACGTTCTCGTCTTCTCTTCCCCCCCTTTTTTTGAAAGAGTTTTTCTTTTTTTAAAAAAAAACACGAACACGAACACAAATACACACACACACACACACGAGTCCGGTGTGATTTCACGTGAAAACAAACTATGGTCTGACATTTCTATTTACAATATTTATACAGCAATTTAAAAGAGAGAGGGAGAGGGAGAGGGGGAGGGAAAGCCTGGGAAGAAGTTAAGATCTATTTCTCTTTCTTTTTCTCTCTCGCGGCAATATAACTTACTGTACTGTGGTGTGGGGGGGGGGGGGGGAGAGGTAGGAGGGAGGAGGGTGGGGGGGCGGTGGTGGTGGTGGTTGGGGGGAGAATAAAAAATATGTCCTTTTTACATCGTGGTAATCCCGTTGGCTTTCGGGGGAAGGGGAGAGGAGGGAGGGAGGGAGGGGAGGGAGGGAGGGAGAGAGCAAGGGAGGGGAGAGAGAGGGAGAGAGAGAGGGAGAGGGAGGGAGGGGGTGTGGGAGAGAGGGAGGGAGAGGGAGGAGAGAGAGAGGGAGAGAGGGGGGAGAGAGGGAGGGAGGGGTGGAGAGAGGGGAGAGAGAGGGGGGGAGAGAGGGAGGGAGGGGAGGGAGAGGAGGGAGAGAGAGGGGGGAGAGGGAGGGAGGGAGAGAGGGAGGGGGAGAGAGAGGGGGAGAGAGGGGGGAGAGAGGGAGGGAGGGAAGGAGAGAGGGAGGGGGAGAGAGAGGGAGGGAGGGGGAGAGAGAGGGGGGAGAGAGGAGGAGGAGGGTGGGGGGGGTTAAAAAAAAAGCATTATTATTTTAATAGCACAGTCTGAGCCGGTGAGGCGGGGGCACTGTGAGCCGGTGAGTCGCTTTGATGGGACTCCCCGGTGCTGGAGGGGGTGAGACCGGACCTGAGGGCACTGTCGCCGCCGCCGTCGTGCGACTCGAGTTCTTTCGCGTCGTTAATGTCAGTGGATTCGGAGTCGGTCCCGTCGCTGTCGCTGCGGGGGAGGGGGGTCGTGTCCCTCGCCCCTCGCTCGCCCTCCTGGGGGCTCGGCTTCTCCAGAGGCTCCTTTTCCTTCTCTTTCTGGGCCTGAGCTTCTTTGGAGTGTCTCCACTTCATCCGTCTGTTCTGAAACCAGACTTTCACCTGCGGTTTCCGAAGGAGGGGGAGAGAGGAGAGGAGAGAGGGGGAGGGGGAGGGAGGGAGAGGGAGGGAGGGAGAGAGGGGGAGAGGAGGGAGAGGGAGGGAGGGGAGAGGGAGAGGGAGGGAGGGAGGAGGGAGAGAGAGGGAGAGGGAGAGGAGAGGGAGAGAGAGGGAGGGAGAGGGAGAGAGGGGGAGAGAGAGGGGAGGGGAGGGAGGGGGAGAGTGGGGGAGAGAGGGAGGAGGGGAGAGGAGGGAGGGGGGAGAGGGGAGGAGGGAGGGGGAGAGGCGAGGAGGGAGGGAGAGGGAGAGGGAGAGGGAGGGAGAGAGAGAGGGAGGGGGGAGGGAGAGAGGGGAGAGGGAGAGAGGAGGGAGAAGGAGGGAGAGGGAGGGGGAGAGGAGGAGGGAGAGGGAGGGGGAGAGGGAGGGAGAGGGAGGGGAGGGAGGGAGAGAGGGGAGAGGGAGGGAGGGGAGAGAGAGGGGACGTGGGAGGGAGAGGGAGGGAGGAGAGAGGGGGAGAGGGAGAGAGAGGGAGAGGGAGAGAGAGGGAGGGAGAGGGGAGAGGGAGGGAGAGGGAGAGAGAGGAGGGAGGGGAGAGGAGGAGGGGGAGAGGGAGAGAGAGGGAGGGAGAGGGGGGGGAGAGGGGGAGAGGGAGAGAAAGCGAAGAAAATAAAACACACAAATTCAGAAGGGGACAAAGGACACCCCCCTCCCCCCCCAACCCCCCCTCCACCCCAAGAAAATAATGCATTTCATTGAAATAAAATAACACCTCTTTTTTTTGCGGGGGGGGGTCCTGTTCATTGGAGGAGTGTGCGTGTGTGTGTGGGGGGGGGGGAGGGGGGGTTGGGATGGAGAGAGAGAGGATGTGAGTCAAGTCTTAGTCAAACTGTTCACTGATTTATTTATTTGCCTCTTTTACCTTTTACCAACTACACCGAAAATATGAAGGAAGGCCCTGCATTTTTTTTTCTAGTAAGCAAATCGTTTCTTCCTCTCTTACTCCGTTTTGCACATTTAATTCATTTGCAAATAGAGTCCTTTTTTTTTCCTGTTGACAACTAAGTGGGGGGGCAGATTAGGGGAGGGTGGTTGTGGTGATGGGGGGGGGTGATGGGTTACTGAGTCGCTGTGTGTGTGTGTGTGTGTGAGAGAGAATTTCACAGATTTTTTTTTCTTTTCTTTCTGAATCCGTGACTTGTGTGTGTGTTTTTTTTGGGGGGGGGTTGGAGGGGGGGGGGGGGGGGGGTTCGCGGTGAAGGTATATCTGCAGCTAAAGGGGGCCTGTGCACTCTTCCCCTGTTCCCGTCCTGGTGGCTAAAGACTCACACGCCGCCAACTCCACGTGCAGTTCCACACGTGTTTTGTGTCACAGACACAAAAATCGCCTGTTTTTTCGCCCAGAAAATACGCACACTTTACGGTATATTATTATTATTAGTAGTATAATATACATACACACAGATATATAGTTATATTCCGCCCGAAACCCTTCGAGGCGATACGCTTAGACAAAGGCGCACAGATCAACGCGCAAAGGAGGATCCGCACTATTATATAACAGGGCGTTATTTCATCGTATCGGCCTGAGAACTGCCTCGGGACTGTTTCCCTTTTCCCACCAGAACCGACCGTTTGTTGTCAGGATTTCCCGCAGTTTCTGTATTTTTCTCTCTCTCTCTCTCTCTCTCTTAAGATATACCCCCAATATCTTTCTTGTGTGTGTAGGGGTGTGTGGGTGTGTGTGTGGTGTGTGTGGTGTGTAGGTGTGTGTGTGGTGTGTGTGGTGTGTGTGGTGTGTGTGTGAGGGTGTGTGTGAGGGGGGGGTTGTGTGGGTCCCTTTTTACCAGACGCACTCACTCACACACACACACACACACATACGCACAAAAGTTAATTTAAGTGCATACATTGGGGGTGTCTGTGCCTGTGCCCGGGGTGGGGTGAGGTGGGGTGGGGTGGGATGGGATGGGGTGGTGGGGGGGGGGGGGACACACAGATTAAATGTGTGTCAACCAACCTGAGCGTCGGTCAGTCCCAGCATCGCCGCGAGTTGTTTCCTGTCGGGTTTGGTCACGTATTTCTGGATCTCAAACCGCTTCTCGAGCCCTTTCCTCTGGAGGTTGGAGAACACGGCTCTGGACCAGGACCGCTTGCGTTTGTAGGTCTGGGGCATCGTGTCTTTGGTTAGGACGGCGTAAGGTCCTGCTGAGTTTCAAAAAAAAAAAAACCCAACGACGAACGGACGAACGAAACAAAAGAAAGAGAGAGAAAAAAAAAAGTTTGAAGGAAAAATAAAAATCAGGAGCGGAAGGGTTGGAACTTGGGCGCAAAGGACGGAGTCTTTGCATCGCACTCGGAGTTAGACGTGTGGTTCAAATAATAAATGGGTGCAGAGGGTGGGTGGGTGGTGGGTGGTGAGTGAGTGTGAGAGAGAGAGGGAGAGAGAGAGGTTGTGGGTGGGGGGGTGTGGGGGTGGGGGGGGGGATTGGTTATCCGATGTGCTACGATGCATTTGTACCCCTGATGTGTGTCTTTGTGTTTTTCTATTTAAGTTTGTAACATAGAACTGAAATCAAAGGCTCTTTTTTTTCCAGTTTCCCACAGGTCAGAGCTAAAGGGTTCTGTCTTTCTTTCTGTCTTTCTATCTTTCTTTCTGTCTTTCTTTCTGTCTTTCTTTCGGCTGAAATAATCTCGCGTTCACGCCGGGTCCAGTCAGTGTGGATTAATATTCCTGCGGAGTGAAAGCCCTCTCTGCTGCCGCCCGCCCTCACCCGCACCAGTGGTGCACAGGTTAACGTCCCACACGGAATTTTTTTGTTTTAATAATAAATAATAAAATAAAATAATCGTAAAAAGAAAAAAAAAACGTCGTAAATGTTGCTCTATTTGCTGCCTTCTCTCTCCCACTCAACCCACCCCCCCCCACACACACTCAAGTTATCCGGTTTTCTACAGAGGGAATTGTTGGCTGAATTGTTGATTTGTTCGAAAAACAATTAAAAATATATATATATATTGAAGCCAAGCTTAAGAATGACTACCACCCCAGGTACACATCACGAGTTAAGTTAAGATCAGGCTCTCTTCACTGAAACGTAGCGCTTTTCCTTTGAAGAGCCAGAAATGTCTCTTTATTGATCTTAATCTTTATTGATTGATTGATTGATCTTTATTGATTGATTGATCTTTATTGACCAATATCTCTTTAATAATAATAATAATAATAATGTCCAAATCTGAGGAAATAGTTCCATCTTCCCTCTCTCTCTCTCTCTTTCCCCACACTCCCTTGCCCCTCTCACCCACCCACCCATCCAACCACCCCACCCCAACCCAACCCAACCCAACCCAGACCAGGCCAGCCACCCAGTGTGACAAATCAAGACTATTAACCTGGGAAAGTGTCCTGATAGTGGTGCTGGGCTGAGGATCTGGAGCCGGTAAGCGGGTTGAGAATTGAAGGACTCTCACCAAGGCCGGGGTCCAGCGACGCAAAGAACTGACTCGCTGAGCTCTGCACCGAGATATGCACTCCAGCCTGGCGGCTTGTGCCCATTAAAGACGTCAGATCTGGGAGTAAAAAAACACAGAACAACATACATTAATAAGAGTTCCTTCATCTCCTTCATGTAGGTATATATATATATATACACACATACAGAGAGAGAGAGAGAGAGAGAGAGAGAACATACAAATATGACAACATCTCGACCTCAATTCGCTCAGCAGCGCTTTGCCCACTAACTCTGCCCCGGGTCAGACTTGGGTGGAGGGACATATCCGGATATATTTGGCCTCACGCAAACTTTCAGTCGTGGAAGTCGAAGTCGGCCCCGTTCCGGGAAGGTCGGTGTGAATTTTGCAGAGATTTGGTGGGGGGGGGGGGGGGTTTAAAGTTTACCAGAGCCCAGGAAAGGACTGGGACATTCCTCACTCCGCTGAGAGACTTGTCGGGATGGCTTCTCGCTGCTTGTTATTCATTTGGTGTTGTGTGGTGTTGTGTTGTGTTGTGTTGTGTACGCGTTCATTTTCTTTTGCCAACATCGATATTACAATATTACAATATCGATCGTAGTTGGGGGGTGGGGGGGGGGGGTGGGTGGTGGAGGGGGAGTGGGTGGTGGTGGGGAGGAGGGAACAGATACTGTCCCTTAAAAATATACCTATATATATATATATATAATATGATATATGATTTCTTTCCTGCTCTTTCTTTGGAGGATGAAATCAATCACTTTCGCGAATTAGGGGGTTCCTGTCTCTCTCTCTCTCTATCACCCCCCCCCCACCCCCTCCCCCCAAAAACCAAAGGAAAATCCACACCGATCGCGAAGAGAAGATCGACCACTTATTTCCCCCCCCCCCCCCCCCCCACCCCCCAAAAAAATAAAATAACATAAAGTCGAGTGGGGAGGTGTAGGGAGAGAGTGGGGGGGGGGGGGGGGGGGTGGAGGGAGAACCCAGTGTGTAATAAAGTGCCACTCTATCCCACGGCCTTCTCCGGTTGATGTCCCAATAGAAAGAAGAAGGCAGAGAGGGAGAAAAGAGAGAAGAGTGGGGAGAAAAAAAAGGAAAGAAATACATTTTTTTTTTAAAAAAAGACCCCCTTTTTGTTTTTTTTTTGGCCTTCTCTCTCTCTCTCTCTCTCTGTGTACCTCGCAAACTGGTGCAGTCTTTGATCTTGAAGTCGAAATCCGCCGACAGAATGCGGTCGATGCCAAACTTCAGGTCCTTGCTGGTGGGGGGGGGGCACTGCTGGAGAGAGCCGCCGGCGGAGAGGTGGGTGCGAGCCGACGAGGGAGGGCAGACGGCCGGGGGGGCTCTGTGCTGGTGCTGCTGGTGCTGCTGCTGGTGGTGGTGGTGATGGTGCTGCTGCTGCTGCTGGTGGTGGTGGTGGTGGTGGTGGTAGGAAGAGGCCGAGGAGACTCTCGGGCTGTAGCCGTGGGGCAGTGGAGGAGGCTCGGGGGCCACGGGCGTGGGGCGCAGTGGGGAGCCCGAGGTCTGGGTCAGGTGCGCCAGGACCCCCCCGGGCGGGCTGGGCAGGGGGGTCTGGCCGGAGCCGCTGGCGCTGAAGCTCTCGCCGTCGCCCAAGTGCAGGATGTCCGCGATGCAGAACGAGGGCTTCTTGACCGATTCCAGAAAGCTGTTGGAGCAGTACGCGGACCAGAGGCTGAAGTTGCCGGCGTAATACGGAGCGAGTCCCGTGGTGTACATTGTGCAATCCGGACCCCCCCCCCACCCACCCACCACCACCTCCACCACCCCCCACACTCCGCTCTTCCCTGGGTTTTTGAGTGTTGAGTTGCGCCTTTTCTTTCTTCTTTTTTTTTGGTGTGTTCAGAGAGAAAAACACACACACACACAGCAAACTGCAAATGCAATGGTTTGGGAAAGGGTTTGAGGTCTAAAATAGGCTGAAAGTATCTGCGCTGTGTGTGTGTGTGTCTGTGTGTGTGTGTCTGTGTGTGTGTGTCTCTGTGTGTGTGTCTGTGTGTGTGTGTCTCTCTCTCTCTGTCTGTGTGTGTCTCTCTGTGTCTGTGCGTGTGTGTGTGTGTGTCTCTCTCTCTCTCTCTCTGTGCCTGTGTGTGTCTCTCTGTGTCTGTGTCTGTGTGTGTCTCTCTGTGTCCGTGTGTACGTGTGTTGCCCCCCCCCCCTCCCCCTCCACCCCTCCAAAAAAAAAAATAATAATAATTCTCGCTTTGCCTTTCTTTCGGAACTCCCAACAAAAAAAAGTTTTTCCTTCTTCTTCCAGGTTCCCCCCCTCCCTCACCAAAAAAAACAAAACTCATCTGCACCAAACTTTTTTTTTTGGCACAGATATCAAGTAGGTTTTGGGGAAGAAGTTGCCACTGATGGAGGGCGATTGGACACTGGAGGCGAACAGCTCACCCAATGCTGGAGCGCTCCCCGGGTCTCCTCGTCCCCGCCTCCGAGCATCACAGCAGCTGGGCTTGAGGAAGTGAAACAGACTTTAAAGCTGTCATTCACTGAAAGCTAAATTATTTTAAAAGTTGTTGGGTTTTTTTTTGGGGCGGGGAGGGGAGGAGGAGGGGGAGGAGGAGGAGGAGGAGGAGGGGATGGGGCGCGCAAGCAACTGCCCCCCCCTTCCAAAAGATTACTTTTTTTTTTCCTGCTTTTCTGCTTTCTTGCTTGTTTTCTTTTCTTTTCTTTTCTTTCTTTTTTTTCTTGCTTTCTTCCCTGTTGCGAAAGACAACCCAAAGCTAGGCTGGAAATGACCTTGTTGAATTTTGAATTAAGGGGTGTTTCTTTCTGCGGCTTATTTGGTTTTTGTTTGTTGTTGTTGTTGTTGTGCAAAAGTATTTGTATTTCTTAAACCGTGCCAAGGCTTTGTGTTTTTTTTTTTGTTTGTTTTCTGTTTGGTTTGGTTTTGTTTTGTTTTTTGACGGACTGAAGTCGGAGAAGCTGTTATATATTCTTTCAATATTTTCAATGAATTAAAACAAAACCTGGATATGGTTTTGGTACACAGATACACGTACCCACTCACTCTCTCTCTCTCTCTCTCTCTCTCACACACACACACACACACAGTTGAAACCCTCTCCAATAAATTGACTCTTGGGGTGGGTGTGAGAGTGATTTTTTTTCTCCAACACAGGGAAAGTGAGTAAACTGCTAGGATTTTTTTTGGGTTAATAAAAAGCCATTGTATTTTTTTTTATTCGTGTGTGTGTGTGTGTGTGCGATTTACTAAGACGGGGAAAAAAAACGTTTGAGAATAGGAAAGTCTATCCGATGACATTCAAAAAAAAATCAGAATTATTGATTACCGCGGCCCCGCGTTTGCAATCATCTTTTTTTTTTCGGCTGCAAACGAAATTCGGAGTAAACCAGAAACCGTGTGTTATTTTCCAAATCGAAAACGCCGCACTGTAAATCCTTGGGGTCGAATTGCTAATTTGTGTGTGTATGTGTGTGTGTGGGGGTGTGGGGGGAGGTGGTGGGGGGGAAGAGAGAGGAGAAAAACCACTTTATTGAGGATATCGCCGACAGTGCGTGTTCCTGCGTAAAATACGAACATACAACAATGGAAAACTTCGCACTCCGCCCCAAAACCTCACCCACATTGGCCCGAAACCCTGTTCACATTGTCCCTGTGTCACCTGGTGTTCAGCCTTAACCTCCCGCAATGGGGGGTCTGTGACAATACCGTGCTCTCCGCAAGGGTTATTGGCTCTCCGCGGGGGTTATTGGCTCTCCACGGGGGTTATTGGCTCTCCGCAAGGGTTATTGGCTCTCCACGGGGGTTATTGGCTCTCCGCAAGGGTTATTGGCTCTCCGCGGGGGTTATTGGCTCTCCACGGGGGTTATTGGCTCTCCGCGGGGGTTATTGGCTCTCCACGGGGGTTATTGGCTCTCCGCGGGGGTTATTGGCTCTCCACGGGGGATATTGGCTCTCCACGGGGGTTATTGGCTCTCCACGGGGGTTATTGGCTATCGGGTGGGTCTGCGTAACCCTCACCCCACCTCCTGCAAACGGGCTGAGGGCAGGAGTTTACCGCAAAACTTGTTATTTATTGTCGTGGGTGTCTGCAGTGTCCTGTTTTATGCGCATTCTATGTACTTTCTTGAGCGTGTGTTTCAAGTGGAAAATGTATATATATAGATAGATATAATATATATATATATAAACGTTTTGTTTTCCCCTGGACCAGTCTTCAGAGTGGAGGAAATGCCCGAGCACTATTAAGTTCAGGTCGTTGATAACCATCCTGTTTTGATGTGCTCGAACGCGAAGTAAATGAGCGGATGCGCCTGCTGGATTTTTCTTAAAATAGAACGCGTTTTAGTATTTTAGGATACAGCAGAAATCCTTATTTCTTCCGGAGACAAACTTTATAATGACTGGTAGGACTTCCGTTTTCAATATTTGTGCAACTTTATCTCGGTCCAGCAAGTTGCTGGAGTGACGCAAATCCGCTCTGGTAACATTAAAAAAAAGTACTTACACACACACACACACACACACACAAAAAATCTTAGGGAACCGATTTGATTCCTTCCACCAATAAAAAACCATAAATCCACTTTTATAACTGCTCCCTGAAGATTTCCTTCGAATGTGTTCTGAGGCAAAATAAAAAGCATTAATTACAGAGCACCAGAGCCAGACCTCGGTCCACTCACTGCTCACTCCCAATGAAACCAGACAAGTCAAGTGTTATTTTATTTTAAGTAAAGTCGCTTTTCAGTGGTTTGGGAAGATTTAAAAAAGAACATAAAAAGTTTATCGTGGGGGGGGGTTAAAATAGAAAAAACGAGAGTTTTAATTCCTAAGTCATCCGATTGGAAATCAAACTTCAGCAACGGGCAAAAAGCTCTTTAAACATTTCCTTTTTTAATACATATATATATATTTTTTTTTAAATCGTTTGGAACATTGTATTTTCTGACACGGGCAATAAATATCCTGCGGCCAAGATCACAGAAATAACATGATAGAGTCAACCTCCTGTGCAAACCCCCCCCCCACACCCCCACACCCCCTACTTTAAAGAAGGTACAAGAGGGCTGACCAGTGTGTGTTCAGCATCTCACTGTATCCAGGAACACTCATGACATTTGATTCCCCAAGTTCCTTTTCCCTGGAACACTTTGCACAATGATTATAGATATAGATATAAATATATATAGATATATAGATATATATATATATAATCTACATGTCATTCTAATTTATGGTATTAACCCCCGTGTGGCTTTGTGTCGGAACAGGGCATAATAATCCCTATTGTTTGGTTGCTTTAAGGATGATTAGCCTCCGGAAGGCAGTCGCTGACCCGCAGTGCATTTAGGAGCACAATATTTCCAATGACATTTTTCCGGGACGCAAATAGCGAAATGAATCTCAATCAGTCAGACATAACAATATGGGGAAGAGGATGGAGAGTGTGTGTGTGTGGGGGGGGGGGGTGTAGGAGAGGGTGGTGCGGGGGGGTTGGGGTGGTGTGGGAGGGTGAGGGGGTTGTTGGGGAGGGAGTTGATCAGTGTGGCTCTCGGTTACGCAGCTGTTTCAGGTGCTGCTGAGCTGTAAAAAGAGGCAAATATTTGAGTCACGCTGCAGGTCGTTATGACAGACGTGGGACCCTTCTATAAAAAAGATAGACATGGCCGACACGTGTTTTATTGCGGGGCGTTTAGAGGGTCCTTCGCCTTTTTGACCCGCAACAAGAAATGCGGGTTGGAATCGGTGGTGGAAAACGACTGCAATCGTGTGTGCGTTGAGCGCAGATACGCGCGGTCCATTGGCATCATCATCATCATCATAAATACCTCTCTCTGGGTATTTACCCACATCTGTCTGTCGAGATATAATCACATCTGCATCCAAACCAATGCAAAACGTGCGCAATGGTAAACGCGATCCCTCGGTCTGGGTGGAAGGCGTCTGATGCTATGTACCCGCATTTATCCACTTGCCTCCGGGTCTCCTTAACCTTCTGTCTAAATGGGTCTCATCTGTTCATCTTGATCTCTCTCTCCCCCCCCTCTCTCTCTCTCTCTCCCTCTCTCCCTCTCTCTCTTTCCACACCTATCCATCTGTCGAGATCCAGCTGTGGCCACGCGGATGCAGCCAGAGGTCCATGTATCCCATCACCTGGTGAGATCAGAGAAGGCTGGAAACGTTCACAGTGGAGAAGCGAAGCTCAAAGAGTTGAGTAAATCTCTCACTCAAGGGGGGGGGGGGGGGGGGGGGGGGGAGATCTTATGGGAAAATCCCAAACCGTGTGGGGACACCTCCCAAGGGGACATTCCCTGGAACCCAGAGGAGGGATTGGGGGCGAACAGAAGGTTTAGATCTGATTAACCTGACGGACAGTGACACCAAATAACAGTGAAAGGTATCGTGGAAAGAGGAGGCGATGGGATTTGGTGTAAATAGCTCCAGTGGGGGAGTGAGCAACTGCAGACACAATGGGCCAAATGGCTTCCGTCTGAGCTTGAAACATTCTTCTGTGAACCTCAGGAGGGAACTGGATGGATTTTTCTTTTTTTTTAGTGAGGAAATTGATTGAGCTGTGATGGATGGTGGTGGTATGATTTTATTTCGGGATCAGACAGATGGAGCACAATAGTCTTTTCCGGTTTTGTGCTTTCCTATATTTCTGCTTATTTATAATCTGTCTGTCTGTCTGTGGACTTTTATTTGATACCCACCCCCAGCTCCCCACCGAAGGGGAGGGAGGGGGGGGGGAAGAAAAAGAGTCCACAATTCCAAA